CCGGTCCCGCCAATCGAGCTGCAGACGCCCTCTCACGACGGCCCGACTTTTGTGCCATTGTGACCACGACATTCGACCTCGATGACGATCTGCAGGCGCATTTCGTCAAAGGCTACAAGTCCGATCCGACTGACTCTAAGCTTTACGCGGAGCTTTCATCGGATCACCCGCCGGCTAGCCACTATCGGATTTTCGACAGGTTCCTTCTCCTTCACACGAGAGGAAAGGACTTGTTAGTTGTGCCCCAAGATCGCATCTTACGGACTCATCTTCTCGGCGAATTCCACAACGCACGACTTTCGGCACACCTTGGCGTGAACCGCACACTAGCACGCCTCCGCCAACGTTTTCACTGGCCCGACGTCCTTCATGATGTCACGAGGTACATTGAGTCATGTGCGATTTGCCACCGAAACAAGGGTCGATCTCGAGTCCCCTTCGGCGAACTGAAACCGTTGCCGATTCCTCGGGCACCACGCCTCTCCATTGCTATGGACGTGACAGGCCCGTTTCCCCGCGATCGCCACGGCCATGACGGTATTCTCACGGTCGTTGACCGTTTGAGCAAGTATGCTCGCTTCCTTCCTTGCAAGTATCATGCTGCAGCGCCTGAGCTCGCACGACTCTTGCACACCGGTTGGATTACCAACCAAGGTGTTCCGGAAGACATAGTGAACGATCCAGATACTCGTTTCATGTCAGCCTTTTGGACTTCCCTCATGGCTGAATCCGGTACGACAATGAAACCAAGCTCGGCTCGGCACCCGCAGACGGATGGTCAGACGGAACGAGTGCACCAGACCGCTCAGATGATGTTGCGTACGCTCATCTGTCCCGACCAGAAAGATTGGGTTGACCGGCTTCCGGACATCGAGTTCGCCTATAACACTCCGGTGCACCTGGCGATCTGCGTCATACCATTCGAGTTACATCATGGAGGAGAGAAAGCACGGATCTTCGCTGATCTCCTTTTGCCACAGGCTGCCGACATAGACGTCCCTTGCTCTCCCGCTTCCGTCCGGAAGTACCGGGACTTGCTGATCAAAGCCTGCACAAATATGCAAAAGGCTCAGATCCGCATGCAGCAGCAAGCTAACCGACGTCGACTTCCATGTCCTTTCCACAAGGGAGACCTTGTTTGGGTCCTCTCCGAGGAATTTGCGCTCAGGCAGGACGTTTCGCGCAAACTCCTTCCGAAATGGTTCGGACCATGGGAAGTCACTTCTGCCGTTGGAGACGATCCCGCAGGTCCTTCCTTCGTGAACAACATTCCACCGCACCTGACAGTGCATCGCGTCTTCCACGCATCGAAGCTGGCCATCTACACGCCACCTTCAAATGACGAGTTTCCCGGACGTCGATCATAGGATCCGCCCTCCATGGACATGAGGAAGTGGACCGAGTCATCACGCACTGCAAGTATGGCAACAAGCCAAGGCAGTACAAAGTCACATTCAAGCAATGTGCTTCTGATGACACTCGGTGGATCTCCAGTACAGATTTGCAGACTTCTTCACCCCTCATCTTCGCAGACTATGAGAAGCGACGCCTTGCTAAGGACGCAGCTCGTCCCGCCCGACCCACCCCGGTATCGGACAGACAACTTCGCCCTCGCAGGTAGCTCGGTCTTTTAAGAGGGGGAGTGTGTTACATCTTCGACGCCACACGGGTCCTACCGGACCCGACTTAGGGCTAGAGGGACACATCAGGGCCTAAAGGCCCGACCTTGGGGGTACTACAGGCCATAAAGGCCT